CAAAAACGGTATTGGGACAAAGTTTCCAGAGATTGTAGCTCTTGACAAGGGCATTCATATAGTACATAGTTGAAACCGCTAGCGTTTATAGTTTTTGAGAAAATTGAGTTTGAAGTTTTTGACAAAATTTCGACAAAAGTTCAACTTTGAGACTTAATAACTAAGGAACCCTATGATCTATTTGGGGCAAATTTGGTACGGTTTTAAAGAGAATTCAATGCTCTTTCCAATGATATTTAATTGAAATCAATTTGCTCAAGAAATATTCAAGATATGGACAATTATCAATAAGTATGTTAGGATTTCGAAAGGAGTCCAGAGCCAGAAATGAGTTTTTCTTTAGGATTTTTTTTTCTCTTTGAAATTGTCATTTGGAAATAACTTAGAATCATTTTTGACTAATTTGGACTCGCTCTATAAGCTTGCAAAGTCAAAATTGAGAAAAATTAAAAATTTGAGTTTTTGATTTTTTTTTTTAAGGTTACTACTCCCTTTGAATTTTTTGTGACAAATCTTCAAAGCTGGATATTTTGGTAACCAAAAACGGTATTGGGACAAAGTTTCCAGAGATTGTAGCTCTTGACAAGGGCTTTCAGATAGTACATAGTTGAAACCGCTAGCGTTTATAGTTTTTGAGAAAATTGAGTTTGAAGTTTTTGACAAAATTTCGACAAAAATTCAACTTTGAGTCTTAATAACTCAGGAACCTTATGATCTATTTGGGGCAAATTTGGTACGGTTTTAAAGAGAATTCAATGCTCTTTCCAATGATATATCATTGAAATCAATTTGCTCAAGAAATTTTCAAGATATGGACAATTATCAATAAGTATGTTAGGATTTCAAAAGGAGTCCAGAGCTAGAAATTAGTTTTTCTTTAGGATTTTTTTTTCTCTTTGAAATTGTCATTTGGAAATAACTTAGAATCATTTTTGACTAATTTGGACTCGCTCTATAAGCTTGCAAAGTCAAAATTGAGAAAAATTAAAAATTTGAGTTTTTGATTTTTTTTTTTAAGGTTACCCCCTTTGAATTTTTTGTGACAAATCTTCAAAGCTGGATATTTTGGTAACCAAAAACGGTATTGGGACAAAGTTTCCAGAGATTGTAGCTCTTGACAAGGGCTTTCAGATAGTACATAGTTGAAACCGCTAGCGTTTATAGTTTTTGAGAAAATTGAGTTTGAAGTTTTTGACAAAATTTCGACAAAAATTCAAATTTGAGTCTTAATAACTCAGGAACCTTATGATCTATTTGGGGCAAATTTGGTACGGTTTTAAAGAGAATTCAATGCTCTTTCCAATGATATATCATTGAAATCAATTTGCTCAAGAAATTTTCAAGATATGGACAATTATCAATAAGTATGTTAGGATTTCAAAAGGAGTCCAGAGCTAGAAATTAGTTTTTCTTTAGGATTTTTTTTTCTCTTTGAAATTGTCATTTGGAAATAACTTAGAATCATTTTTGACTAATTTGGACTCGCTCTATAAGCTTGCAAAGTCAAAATTGAGAAAAATTAAAAATTTGAGTTTTTGATTTTTTTTTAAAGGTTATCCCCTTTGAATTTTTTGGTATAAATCTTCAAAGCTGGATATTTTGGTAACCAAAAACGGTATTGGGACAAAGTTTCCAGAGATTGTAGCTCTTGACAAGGACTTTCAGATAGTACATAGTTGAAACCGCTAGCGTTTATAGTTTTTGAGAAAATTGAGTTTGAAGTTTTTGACAAAATTTCGACAAAAATTCAACTTTAAGTCTTAATAACTCAGGAACCCTATAATCTATTTGGGGCAAATTTGGTACGGTTTCAAAGAAAATTCAATACTCTTTCCAATGATATATAATTGAAATCAATTTGCTCAAGAAATTTTCAAGATATGGGCAATTATCAATAAGTATGTTAGGATTTCAAAAGGAGTCCAGAGCCAGAAATGAATTTTTCTTTAGGATTTTTTTTTCTCTTTGAAATTGTCATTTGGAAATAACTTGGAATCATTTTTGACTAATTTGGACTCGCTCTATAAGCTTGTAAAGTCAAAATTGAGAAAAATTAAAAATTTGAGTTTTTGATTTTTTTTCTTAAGGTTACCCCCTTTGAATTTTTTGTTACAAATCTTCAAAGCTGGATATTTTGGTAACCAAAAACGGTATTGGGACAAAGTTTCCAGAGATTGTAGCTCTTGACAAGAGCTTTCAGATAGTACATAGTTGAAACCGCTAGCGTTTATAGTTTTTGAGAAAATTGAGTTTGAAGTTTTTGACAAAATTTCGACAAAAGTTCAACTTTGAGACTTAATAACTCCGGAACCCTATGATCTATTTGAGGCAAATTTGGTACGGTTTTAAAGAGAATTCAATGCTCTTTCCAATGATATATAATTGAAATCAATTTGCTCAAGATATGGGCAATTATTAATAAGTATGCTAGGATTTCAAAAGGAGGCCAGAGCCAGAAATGAGTTTTTCTTTAGGATTTTTTTTCTCTTCGAAATTGTTATTTGGAAATAATCTCAGAATCATTTTTGACTAATTTGGACTCGCTCTATAAGCTGGTGAAGTCAAAATTGAGAAAAATTTAAATTTTTTTATAGTTTTTGAGAAAATTGAGTTTGAAGTTTTTGACAAAATTTCGACAAAAGTTCAACTTCGAGACTTAATAACTCCGGAACCCTATGATCTATTTGAGGCAACTTTGATACGGTTTTAAAGATAATTCAATGCTCTTTCCAATGATATATAATTGAAATCAATTTGCTCAAGAAATATTCAAGATATGGACAATTATCAATAAGTATGTTAGGGTTTCAAAAGGAGTCCAGAGCCAGAATTTTTGACTAATTTGCACTCGCTCTATAAGCTTGTAAAGTCAAAATTGAGAAAAATTAAAAATTTGAGTTTTTGATTTTTTTTTAAGGTTACCCCCTTTTAATTTTTTGTTACAAATCTTCAAAGCTGGATATTTTGGTAACCAAAAATGGTATTGGGACAAAGTTTCCAGATATTGTAGCTCTTGACAAGAGCTTTCAGATAGTACATAGTTGAAACCGCTAGCGTTTATAGTTTTTGAGAAAATTGAGTTTGAAGTTTTTGACAAAATTTCGACAAAAGTTCAACTTTGAGACTTAATAACTCCGGAACCCTATGATCTATTTGGAGCAAATTTGGTACGGTTTTAAAGAGAATTCAATGCTCTTTCCAATGATATATAATTGAAATCAATTTGCTCAAGAAATATTCAAGATATGGACAATTATCAATAAGTATGTTAGGTTTTCAAAAGGAGTCCAGAGCCAGAAATTAGTTTTTCTTTAGGATTTTTTTTTCTCTTTGAAATTGTCATTTGGAAATAACTTGGAATCATTTTTGACCAATTTGGACTCGCTGTATGAGCGTGTAAAGTCAAAATTGAGAAAAATTAAAAATTTGAGTTTTTGATTTTTTTTTTTAAGGTTACCCCCTTTGAATTTTTTGGTATAAATCTTCAAAGCTGGATATTTTGGTAACCAAAAACGGTATTGGGACAAAGTTTCCAGAGATTGTAGCTCTTGACAAGGGCTTTCAGATAGTACATAGTTGAAACCGCTAGCGTTTATAGTTTTTGAGAAAATTGAGTTTGAAGTTTTTGACAAAATTTCGACAAAAATTCAACTTTGAGTCTTAATAACTCAGGAACCCTATAATCTATTTGGGGCAAATTTGGTACGGTTTTAAAGAGAATTCAATGCTCTTTCCAATGATATATAATTGAAATCAATTTGCTCAAGAAATATTCAAGATATGGACAATTATCAATAAGTATGTTAGGATTACAAAAAGGAGTCCAGAGCCAGAAATTAGTTTCTCTTTAGGATTTTTTTTTCTCTTTGAAATTGTCATTTGGAAATAATCTTAAAATCATTTTTGACTAATTTGGACTCGCTCTATAAGCTGGTGAAGTCAAAATTGAGAAAAATAAAAAAATTTAGTTTTTGATTTTTTTTCTTAAGGTTGAATTTTTTGTTACAAATTTTCAAAGCTGGATATCTTGGTAACCAAAAGGGGTATGGAAACAAAATTTTCAGGGATTGTAGCTGTTAACGAGGGCTTTCAGATAGTATTTAGTTAAAATCGCTAGCGTTTATAGTTTTTGAGGAAATTGGGTTTGAAGTTTTTGCTAAATTTTCGACAAAAGTTCAACTTTGAGGCTTGATAACACAGGAACCCTGTGATCTATTGAGGCAAATTTAACACGGTTTTAAAGAGAATTCAATGCTCTTTTAAATGATATATGATTAAAATCAATTCCCTCAAGAATTATTGAAAATATGGGCAATTATCAATAAGTATGTTAGGATTTCAAAAAGAGTCCAGAGCCAGAAATGAGTTTTTCTTTGGGATTTTTGTTTCCCTTTAAAATTGCCATTTGGAAGTAGTTTTAGAATCATTTTTGACTAATTTGGACTCCCTCTATAAGCTGGTAAAGTCAAAATTTAGAACAATTGAAAAATGTAAAATTTTAGTTTTTGATTCTTTTTTCTTTTGAATTTTTGTTTACAAATCTTCAAAGTTGGATATCTTGGTAACCAAAAGCGGTATTAGGACAAAATTTTCAGGGATTGAAGCTCTTGACAAGGGCTTTCAGATAGTAGGTATTTAGCTGAAACCACTAACGTTTATAGTTTCTAAGAAAATTAGGTTTGAAGTTTTTGACAAAATTTCGACAAAAGTTCAATTTTGAGGCTTGATAACTCAGGAAACCTATGATCTGTCGGGGCAAATTTAGCACGGTTCTAAAGAGAATTCAATGCTCTTTTCAATAATATATAATTGAAATCAATTTGCTCAAGAATTATTCAAGATATGAGCAATTATCAATAAGTATGTTAGGATTTCAAAAAGAGTCCAGAGCCAGAAAATGTGTACACTGTGTATATTTGGTAGATTGAATATTTTCTTTTATTGTTTTAGTTTTTTGATTTTGTTCTTGATTCTATTCAACTTTTTTTTTTTAATTCCAGAACAATCGCAGTACAATCATGGACGATTCCAGAAGATTCTCATGCGGTAGCATCGTATATAGACGCTCTTCCATTACCTCCAATCCCAAAAGAAACGAAATACCAGTCGAAAACATCTACAACCAAAACAAAATTGACACCCTCCAATGGCAACTAAAAGAGGTAACTATATCTTTTAGACTTTTCAATCAAATTTCTATTAATAAACCATTTTTAGACTGAAAAAAGCCGCGTCATGTATAAAGCAGTCCTGAAACAAATCATGACGTTTCTGGAAAAGGCCCATGTCAGCTTGGAACATTTAAACACCCGCAACAATTCCAAAACTAATGACCAATCATGGACCCCATCAAAAAAGCCCTCAGAAAATAACCCAGAAGAAATCCCTCCAGACAAATTATCCCAAGAAGCTTTCAGGCTTCTGAGAACAGCCGAGTCACTTTTGAACACTCAAGAGCCTAATTTGACTTGCCCAGAAGCCTCGGACGATGTTGAATTTCTAGCTCAACTAGCTAAAGAATTCCCTTCAAGTCAAAAGCCTCAAAGGACTACAAGTTTTAGTGTCAGCCCGAAGCTAATTTCACCTGAACATGATTCAGTTAAAATTTCAAAGGCTTTTAATAGGAAACTTTCTTTGCAGCTGAGTGAAATTAAACGTAGAAATGCAGCTGAAAGTGAGTGTTTTTCATTGCAACCACAAGTGGAAAAGGCTTCAACCTCTCCTGCAACTGCTAGTATCAGTTCCATGGAAGACGAAAGCGGATTTAGTTCTTTGAATTCTTTTCAAGAAATTGGATTGCCTTTAGTTAACTCAACCGCCATTGAAGATGTAAGTTGTTCTATAATGATTTTTACAAATAAATCAATTGAATTGTTGTAGGTTTCTGCAAGAAGTGTTCTTCTCAAAAGCATGCTTCACAATGACTCATCTGAGCTTCAAGAATCTACTTTAACTTCTAAATATATGAAAAAATATAGCGATAAGACAGAAGACAGTAGTGACGTGAAACTTTGGCAAAAACCAGAATTAAATGTTGAAGTTGGTCATAAAAGATGGAATTCGACGCCTGAAAGGAAAAGAGATAGTCAGAGTTTGAAGGTTTTGTGGGTCTAAATTTGTTTATAATTTAAGTTAAAATTTGTTTCTTTATTTATTTGGTTTTGATATTTGTGTCATTTTTTTTTTGTTCAATACAAGATTTTGTATAAATTGATTTTTCTTTTATAATGAATTATTTGGTTAATAATAAATAATAATTACTGAATAATTGTAGAATTTTATTCTGGTTATTATGGCGGATGCGCAGCAAAATTTTTGCAGGAAATAAAATTTTCATGCATTTCCAGTTCAAATGTCAGATTTTTAAGATACTAGATTCCAAAATTCAGCTCTACCAAGCTTAAAAATCACCTCAATGACCTGCTCTGCATTAAATTTAATTGAAAAATACCTAGTTCAAAAATCGTTGTTTTAGTTTAATTTTGGTAGGATATTAAATTTTGATGCATTTTCACTTCAAAATTCCAGATTTCTGAGATTCTCCTTTCCAAAATTCAGCTTAATCAGGTTCAAAAATCACCTGAATGAACTACTCTGGATCAAATTTAATTGAAAAATAGTTCAGAAATCGTAGTTTTGATCTAATTTTGGCAGGGAATTAATTGAATTTTTCAGCATTTCCAGTTCAAATTCTAGATTTTTAAGATTCTTCATCCAAAAATTCAGCTCTACCAGGTACAAAAATGATTATTTTAAAGCTAGAGGTTGATCTGTAGAGCTCATTTTTATCTTCTATGGAGCGAAATTCAATTGAAAAACTTCATTTCCAGCTTTTGAATTTGAAGGTTTTCACCATTCCAGAGTAAAAGCTATAGAGTTATTTCAGCTGGAATAGCATTGAAATCTTATTCCCGGCTCTCCTAAAGTCAAAAATATACCAAAAAGTTTGATTATTTTAGAACTACAGGTTGACCTAAGGAGCAAATTTCTCTAACTCCTAACTAAACACTACTGGATCTTAAATTGATGAAGATTTTTTCTGGAACAAATGACCATGGTCCTGTCAACGCTTTCTTCGGTGCTCATGGCTGAGACCACTAATAAGCGTTGCTCTTCATCTTCACTCATATACCAATAAAGAAATAAAATTCCAAAAAGCTTGTTTTCCGCGACAATAGTACTTAAGGCCGGGACACACCTATCATACATTTTGCCGATCCGACTCCGATCATACAATCGGAAGAGTGCCTGAGAAGGGAATGGTTCTTCATTTCAAACAACGTAGTTCACACCTCACATGTTCAGGAATGTTGTCAACGCAACAGTGGATAGTCAAGATTCCATTAGGTATGGGTCCAATAGTAGTGAAGGGCGGTCAAACTATGGTCAGTGCATTTAACATTTCTGAAAATGAGGGATTATATCTCTTTAGTGCCTGGTGCTATTAGATAGAATGCAGTTAGTATTAGAGGAGAACATGACTGGGTCGCAGGCTCAGCAGATTTTGTTCCACTCGATTTTCGGAACATACAAGAAGGACCTCTCGCTATCTAAGGACACATAACCAGGTTGGGCTCATGGGATAATAGAGTGCTTGGAAAGTGCATGACAAGAGGTAAATTCCAAATTCCAGAAATTTACACCAATTTTCCTAACCCACTATCACAAACTCTCATCTGGGTCTATTGTCAACAAGTTTCAGTTAAATCTGCTCCGTGTCAGTATTCAGTGGGTTAAGAACCCAACATTTTTCGGATGTCTTTCTCAAACAGTTGGGTAAGAGATCAGGTTCTGCAGCGCCAATGAAGACCATAAGCCAAATGACAGCGCACCTACAGGTGCACTTTCAAAGTTGAGGCAGGATCTACTAAGCGGGGGGAAGAAGATGGAGATGGGAACGGTTATGTGGAAAAAGGTCGAATCAATGGACTTAATAGCTGGAGGAGTCGAGGACCCGGACAAGAAAGTGGTCATTTTTTCTTGGGACCAAGCAAGACGTACCTAGTTTTAAGTCAACTTTTATAATTGTTTCTTATTCCAAGGCATTTGGCAATGTATCTCGCAAATATTATTTTATTGTAGTTAGCTTATGCATTTTATCTAAAACAAAGCTTTGTTATTACTATGCCAATGCCTATTGCCACAATATTGGTAAACTGCTCTTCTTCCTCCAGCAAGAAATTCATCTGCCGCTGCAGTCTACAGTCTGTTGTCTGTCGTTGTATTTGGAATTGTACCTTTAGATAGCTGACCACAAACATGCAATGATAGGGCCAACACCTCTTCACCATATTTGGTCTCAACGTTATTTCTTCTATACCCCCACGACTTTAACCAAAGCGCATAAATGTTGTTTCAATTAGCATGTCGGTCAGTGGCGGTCCATAGATGATTTTCTGGGGGGGGTAATGGATGACGGGAAAATCATTAAGTGTCAAATGGCTTCCTGCCGGAGGCGAAATTTTTTTAAGGGTGCCACGTCCAAATTTGCACCTGAAAATCGTCTGAAACACACCTCAAGCAAAAATGTATCCCGATGCCGGCAAAATAGTTATACAGGATGTCCACTTAGTAGACGATATCTCCTTTCAGGGTAATGGAAGAAAAAAAAATTAAATTACAAAGTTGTTTGATACTCTAAGATCCATTAGTAGTTTAAAATATTTTTGAATATACACAGGGTGTTCCGTAAATGAGGTATGTGACAGAACTTTGTTATTTTAAATGGAACACCTTACATTTTAGAACATTAATGGATTGTTCTAACAATCCTATATACTTTTTCTTAGGAACTACCTATACCTATATATAACTACCTATACTATACCTATACTAATGGATCAATTATGTGCACATCTGTGAGCAAATCTGTAAATTTCTATAAAAACTCGACCCTTTTTGAAATATTTGAAACTTTTTCAAAAAATCGAAGTTCGCACTAACCCAAAAAGTGGGACACTCGACTGACAGGTCTTGTAATTTTGCATAAATCAGTCTATTTTGCGTAAATCAGTCTTTTCTTTTCAATGGATTTTTTGTCAAATATGACAATTCCTGTCATTGTCTTAGGTATAGCTGGGTGAACCCGTTTTACAATAGGAAAAAACGGGTGTCCCACTTTCTGACTCTGTGCTCATGACTGATAATTTATTGCATAATATTGATCATGAATTTATTTACTGTATTGAAATCAAGCCAATAATCGGATTGAAATTTGAACCCATCACAAGTTACGAACGCCTAGGCTCTGACGTCATACCGGCTTTGGAAGTACAGTTTTAACACGTGCAAGAATTTTTCAAAACAAATGTCCACGATCTCATTAGAGCGAATGGCAACCACTCAAAGTATAGGGCACGGTTCACTGAGGACTGAACGAACGGGAGGCTGGCATTTCGGCGTTTAGCCGGTGTGACGCTACAAGTGTTCGCATAATTTATCTGCATAAAAAAACATTCAGATTTCATGTATTCGAATGCAGGAAAATTTCTACATTCAAGTACTTTTTGAAATATTTGAAACTTTAAAAAAAAAATCGCAGTTTGCATGTGTCAGTGTCAATGCATGTATCAGCAAAAACCAACACATTTCATTCATTTGAGATCCTTAAGCTAAATCTTTTGCAGGCTGTTAGTGTATACTTACATTTACTTCATGGTCCTATGAAAATCTGATAACATTCTATAGGGTGTTCGCAATACTGTAACTGTACACAAAACCAGATATTTCAAACAACCATAGCTTTTTTTTCAAATGAAATACCTTTTATTTCACTGTATAGTAGTAGGTACAGTTGCGATCAAAAAAAAGTAGTACAAAAATTATTAGCTCCAATTTGAGCTCCCGGTGTAACATAAAAAAATTTGACAGGCAATGACATATTCTAGGTTAAAAACGGGTGGAAAAATGTCAAAATAATGTCATCTAAAGCTTTCTAGGTTAAAAACTTGTCGAAAAATGCCAAAAATATGTCATTTTTGGTTATGAATTAAATTAATGTATAATAGACCAGGAAATTTTGGAGATTTTCCTTGTACTACTTTTTTTTAATCGCAACTGTACGTCGATACTGGTGAGCCTATCAATTTATACAATGCCTTCTATGCTTTACTTTATAGAACTTGTCTTTTGTTGAAATTTTATTCTTAAGTGTTCAAAAAAAATCTTTGTCTGGGGGGGGTAATTACCCCCTCTACCCCCCCCTTTAAACCGCCCTTGATGTCGGTCCATATGCCATTCCATATCTCGGAATTATGACGGGCTACGCTCACAACTCAGAAACGTTTCACGAAGAACGGGATCTAGTTGTTCCATGCTTCGCAGATAAATATATTGCATTACGAGCGTATAGTTCCAATGCCCTGAAGCAAAAAAATAAGGCATCATTGCTTCAAGTGACCACAAACGCAAAGGGCAGTTGGGTACCTTCGTGTTCGGCTCGTATGAACATTAACATGTGCACTCAAAAAAATCTTAATCATAATATCAATGAACTGCTTTCATAAATTACATTTTCATTGATTCAGTGAAATTTTCATTAATCCCAAGTACAGAAAACTGTAAGTATTATGATTTCATGAACAGCTATCATTAAAATAAAGAATGAAGCTTCATTAAGTTATGAATAGTCATCTACATGAATCTATGTTGAATAGTGCATCGGTTACAAGAACTAAGTTCATTGATATTATGAAATTAAACTTTGATATTAAAGAAAATTTCTTTGATGGGAGCTTCCACGGAATATTCATAATATAAATGAATATTAACATGAATAATATGAATATGGTTCATATAACCTTACTAGAAACTTATCCTTTTAAGAAGGAAATTCATTGATACAATGTACGGTTTATTTAAAACAACCAAATATTCCTAGAAACAAAGCTGCAACCATTACATCAAGATAAATCATAAATACAATGAAACAGTTCATGGCATTAATGTAGACAGTTCCTAAGCACATGCGCAAAGGTAGCTGCAGTCGGGCAACGACATAGAAAAATATGTTGAAATAGGAATAATTACGTTTCTATTTTCTGGGTGCATTGCTACGTACTTCGTTCAAGTCGGTTTTTTCGGTTTTGTGTTGTTCGAAATGGTAAATAGAAAGT